ATGTGCCATGAATCCATTCCAGTCCACCCCTCAAAAAAATGCTTTCAACGTGTTTTTCAATAAAGAAATTAGCATGCTATCATAGTATTTTTTTTGTTTGTTTGTGCATCACGAGGAATTTATTTGGCACCTTCTGATGTGTGTGACTTAGCCACTGAGGGGCAGAGTAATGCAGTCATGCAGTCAAATGAAAAAGTTTCACACGGACTGTGACTCAGTTCGCTGCTATAATTTGTCGGCTTTCTCGGAGGATAAAGAATATATGCCTGTGAGAATTGTATTACTCAATTGTCTGTCTGTGTGTTGAGGCACCGTTTGTGTCCAAATATCTGTTGCTTCAAGGACTTTAACAGCACACCTAGTGATGCTATTCATTAGGCCATCTGTGCCATTTTGCACTGTGCGTTAATATTGAGCTGGCAGAAGGCGAAGTTGTTTTGGTGTTTTGTTCAGTTTGATGGTAAACTTCAAGGGAGTGGCATTTAAATAACTTGAAATTTTTTGCTTGGTAAATTTTTCCCGATCAGCCAAATTGCTACTTGCTGCGAACAAAGTGAACTGTGGTAACTGTCACCATACCGTGATTACATGTCAAATGTTTGCAAGTCAAACCAAAAAAACAAAACAAAAAAACTCGTAAGCTTGTTCACTTGTGTCTCAAGGCACCACTGTGCAATGTTTCAATCTCTTCTATTTTGGGTGGCCCAAAAAAAAAAAGGAAAAAAAAAAAAAAGGAAAACATTTTTTAATCTGGTCTCTTCATACCGCAGGTTTTCATGGATCACGGGTGAGTGTGTAGCGTATCCCCCCACGATAAACAGGGTTTCACTGCATTCAACACAGGTGCCGAGAAAAAGCAGCATCTTTCTTCAGGCAGCCGTGTTGGGGCTGACAGAGAAATACCTCAGACTCTGGCGGCCCCCGGTGGAGGCGAGGTGCACCTCACAGCAAGCCTTTCAAAAAGCCAAGCGCTGCTCGATGGGCAAACTGTCCAGCAGGCACTTGAGCTGCTCTTCGCCCAGCTTGATTTTGTCCTCCAGCTTGCGCTGCTCGATGATGAGCGCCGACTTCATCTTGACAAAGTGCTCGTAGTCGGCCATGCCGTCCTCGGGCAGGTAGCTGGCCAGGATGTCGTAAACGGCCCGCTCGCGCCGATCCAGGTTGTCCTTCAGCTCCTTGGCGTCCTCGTGCTGCCGTATCAGCAGCTTGCGCTTCTCCGTCAGCGTGCGCTGGAGGGAAAAAAGGGGTGGGGGGGGGGGGGAGGTGGGGAAGAGCGATTTGTTGTGCTGGAGCTGGGAGTCATCTATACTTCTCCAGACATGCAAATGTATTAAATCCAATTCCAGACATTTCCAAATTTGCATAGAAATCCTGTGTATTCTGCGTACAACTTCTAAGTGAGTCTCAAGTCTTCACCTTCATGTTTCAAGGCAAGCGTTTGTACGTACCCGCTCCTCGGGCGTGGCCTCCTCGTCCAAGCTGTTGAGGGCGTTCTCCACCCTGGCCAGGCGGCCCGACAGCGAGAGCAGCAGGCTCACCACCTTGTCCAGGTCGCCCACGAACATGCGGAACTTGTCCAGCTCGTTGGGCTTGCACACCTGCTGGACGCGAGCCTCCACCTCGTCTCCCAGCGCGTTGTTGTCCAGCACGTCCTCCTGCAGGCTTTGGCGGGCTTCGCGCAGGACCTGAAGCTTCTTGCTCAGGCTGTCCATCAGCTCTTGCTGCACCAGATCGAACGCATTTATTGGTGACTTTCAATTTTTTCATACACTAGACAATTTTTTTTTTTTTTGCCGTGTACTGCGCAGCCCCTTTCGCACTGCTCATCAAGGCCTACAGAAGACTAATTTATCATTTTGTGAGGAGTGTGTCGTACTTTCTTGTTCGCCAGATCCATGTCCAGTTCGTCCTCCGAGTCGTCATAGTCCTCGTTCTGCTCCTGCATGTCTTTCATTTTGATGAGAAGCTCAGCTTTGGGGGCCGACGTGCTGTAATACGCAGAGCTGGTCACCAAGGCAACCGCCGCCGCCATGCTGTCTTCCTTCTCCCTGAAATAAGATCAGAACATTGTCATCGCGATGTCTAACATGATAACCATGACGTGTTTGACACTCTTCCAAAGACAGCCCCAAAGAGTGAGAGTTGAATGTTGCTAGCTGAGATTCGTGGCTGGCTGTGAACTGGCTAACGGTTAGCGTTTTAGTGCCCGTTTTTGTGGCCATCGTAGCTTGTGTATAAAAGGCGCATTTTTTTTTTTTTGTTTTTGTGTTTTGTTACGTCTTAAATTTTCCTTTTGTCGCATCATCTTATTTCTCCACAAAGTGATGACTGAGTCTGTAGCATTATTTGAGTTATTCGATTCATCATTTTAGCCCGACTCCAGACTGAGTTGAAAATTCCTGACCTTTCCTCAGCCTGCCGGGTGGCGTTCGGGGGTTTGGCGGGTGCTTTCTTGCGTTGGTGAGCTCCTTCCAGCAGCTGCTCGCCCTGAGGGAACAGGCCCTCCATCAGGTCCATGGTGGTTTTCATCTTGCTCTGGTCCAGGATGTCAGCCAGCGACTTGTCCTTGTCCATGATGTCGCGGGCCAGCTCCTCCCTCTTCTGCTCTTCAGACATCGTCGGGGTGGCGGCGTCCCTCTCGCCCTGGTCCGAAGTCACACCAGGTTCATCAAGTTCTTTCTGCCGAGTGAAAGTGCAGAAGACCGAGTCCTGCCCACTGGCTCCCAATCTGCCTGAGAACAGTTTGGGGAGGAGGAAAAAATTTCCTGTGGCCGCATGCATGTGATTTTAAATGTCACTGCACGATGGCAGAGAGTTTTTCCATGCCCAGCGACAAGAAGATCTCAATGCGCTGCTCTGCTTTATGAATCTATCAAATTAGAAATTTACTAGAAAGCAGATGAAATAGAATGAAACCTCTTTGGGAATCAGGCCGAATTTGTACTTTTTTTTTCTTTCATTTTTAAATCTTTTATCCTGAATACGAGGATGTCTCAAATAGACATTGACAATTTTATTGGAACGTAAGATTCAACCAAGGTTAATATAGTTTGCGAAAACCAACGAAATGAACAAAAATGGACCCCCCCCATAACATTTTTAAAAATTAAAACTACTCACTATATAGTATTTTCATCTTTATCAATTCATTTGTGAGCAATTAATTTCATGTGAGCTTTCAGGGTTCATTTTTAATTTATTTCAGTGTTGCTGTATGAACATGCAGGACAAGAAAGGTCAAATAGTCATTTAAAAATTATTCTTGACCTTTCTTGGCGAGACAATGCTGGAAAAACTGAAACTAATGCTGAAAGCCATAAAAACTAAACTAAAACATTTTTATTTTGGGATGAATGAATGAATGAATGAATAAATAAATCCATAAAAAAAAGAGCAAGAACAACTAACAAACCTGCACTAAAAGCGAATTAAGACTAACTAAAATTAAACCATAAAGGCTCAAAATGAAATAAAAGCTTCAACCAAGCTTCTTTTTATCCGTTTAAAATATTTTTTGTTAGATGCACCTCATTGATTGCATAAATGCAACACGTGCTAGAATTTTCTTAAACATACAGGTAAATAAATAAATGAATAAAATACATTTAAAAAGAGAGAGATGCAGTGTTAACTTCACTTTGAGATGTCAAAGGCGTTTTGTGGCTCCCGGTGTTGTTTTTTTCTGTGTTCGACAGGCAAAATAATTGTTTAAAGTGTTTAAGGTGGCCGACCCCAGCTCCATCAGAACAACACAATAATTTAGCAAACCGCGAACGTGCGGCTTAAAATCAATTACACTTAGGACACTGTGGAGCCTTTGGCTCTCAATAAGCTCCTGTGTACCAACAAACCACAGGAAAAAAAAAACAAAAAAACGTACCCGTTTGAATCGTGGTCCTGAAGTGAGACGGGCGGCTTGTCGCTGAGTCTCTGTGGGGAAAAGTGCGGGGAAGGCGAGCGCCGTGCCTCCATGGCAGCCGGCGTCCTGTCGGAGGGAGTGTGCGCTGGCGTGTGACGCGCAACGGCAGCAACTTGCACTTTGCCGGCTGGTTTTTTAGCCTCGCTGTTCTGGGTGTGACTTTGGGGACGCGTCGCCTCGTCTGGGTTGATGTCGGGGCACCTGGGCGGGGGAGGCTCGGCGTGCTCCGTCACCTGAGAGCGTGCCGACTCTGCTGCTCTGTCGTTGACAGCGGCTGTAGCAGCTGTCGAGGTTCTGTGCCCCGTCGCGGGAGGGGGTCGCTCGCGCTCGGCAGGCTTCTCTCTTACTTTGCAGTCCTCCAGGAAGCTGAGGATGAACGAAAAAGGCTTTTAATTACATACGCCACAAACTATCATCTCCAGCCGCCGAGGGCTTCGCCTTACTCTCGCCAGCAGCCACTGTGATTAAAAAAAAAAAAAGTCTCCTCCCTTGACTGGAGCCGCCAGCAATACTTCAGCTCCCACAAAAAGCCTGTGAGGAGGAATAAAGAATCCTCCGGAGCACTTTTAACTCTTCGGAGGAGGTTTGTCTGGTAGCGTGGCACACGTGTCACAAGCGGTGAGAAGCGACAATGACTTTGTTATGATGCTTAACTGATTCATTGCCAGAGTTCTCCATACTGACAGCTGTTTGAGAGCAATTTGACATCTCTTGGAAAACCACAGAAAATTATGTTTGCCGACAATACAGGCCGAACCTACCACAAGACTATTCTCTTGCTGACCCAAAAGTGGAGAAAATGTGCTTTTTTTTGTGTGTGCCTTTGACGGTAATCTTTTTGGCTTTGTGTCACCTCCAATTATAAAATAAGATTAAAAAAGGCACTTTGACAGCAAAACAGTAATTTATTTACAGATATACAGGAAAGAAGTATGTTCAAATTGAATGTCAGTTTTTTTTGACCTGCTGCTGCAAAGAAGTGTGTCATCTTTTCTCAGTGGCAAACACTATCTATGATCAGTGCCGCCGTGACAAACATAAATTGTTGATACCATACACATAAAACAGAAGTCCTTAAAACCGTCACACAACTTTGCCTTTAGAATGAATGTCCGCTACCTTCACGCTAACATGCAATGCAAAACGTGATCGATGGGCTATTAAATGGCATCGCAGACTCATAACTCACGGCAACAATGTACCACGAAGCACATTTCAGAGTTTGGACTTTGTTGTGTACTGCCACCTGCTGTCGATTGAAATTGACGTCAAAGTGGCCAAGGGCTCGCCTTGCAAATGACACTTGACCAAACCCCAGAAAACGCACAGAACATATTACAAAGACATTCTTTGACTTGACTTCCACTTTAAGTAAAGGGATTAAATCAGTATTTCTACTTTGACCAACTACCCTTTGCACAAATGTTCAACTTAAGTACGGAGCCTGAATACACCTCTATGTATCACCAGACGGGCTAACATCAATCCATCATGGCCATGCAGATTCCCTTGGCATGCACGTGAGAGGTTCCAAGCAAACTCAATTAGGAAGCACTGAAGTGCGTCGATTGTACAGTCATGAGATACGGTTTGCGGCAACTTACGGTCAAACAGATGCTCCCCTTCAAGCTTTTTTTTTTTTTGTACATATAGATCACATAAAATGAACAGATAATCTCCCTAACTAAATATCTGGCATTCCACTGGGAGACTAATTTGATGCACTATTAAATGAAGTTAATTCAACGTGACGGATTGACAAACTAGCAAGTTTCCTTTTCGTGCAAAGACAACAAAACAAGTTGCACCGCTCACCCAAAAGGACGCTTCAGGCCCGTCATTTCCATCGTGACGCAAGTAAGACTGCCTTCTCTCTTTCTCCCCTGTTGCCATCTCCTCACCGCTGTATCAATATCACAGACTGGGCGGAGCTCATCGGCCAGACACCCCGATGACAATGACTGTTGTCATGCAAAGGCCCATAATGAGGGTTGCTCCAGACGATACTCTACACCCCCGACGGTGGGTGTCACCTGCACGGGTGTGCCTTTGTTGGGGTGGGCAGTATAGAAAAGCTAAAGACTCCTAAATTACTGTTCCAATGTGAACTGAAGCACCATGTGACCAGGAAGCATTCGCGAGGAACCTGTACTTCCCGACACAAAGCGGCACCACAGGGACGGCGTGTGTTGGCAGAGGTGTGGCAAGGCTATCGCGCTGCGATACCCCCCCGCAAATTATAAAGACATCACTGTCCCTCCAACAACAGAAGACAGGATCGTTAGAAGGGGGCGGGGGGATATTCTTCCCAATCGAGTACCAGTTTCCACCACATGTGATGTCTAAATGTTTACAGGAGCATGTTAAACTGCTCTTATGAGCAACAATAAACCACATACCTTGAGGCAGAGTTGAGTGGCCCAGCAGGTTTGTCCTCCATCTGGGAATATTCCTTCTCCGGCGTTATTGCGGGGCCATGAGTAGTCTGAGGAAAAACAGCAGAATCATCTCTAAAAGGAAACATTCTTGTTTCAAAGCAGCTCCTGGCAATTTCCTGGTTGAGAAAAGGATTCATGAGAATAAGATCGACGTCAGCCTCGGCCTGAAACTGAGGCGTGTCGTGAAGAACTAATGTTATTATTGGATGTCTTTCAGGTTTGACTTCAAAAGGCTTGATGACCTTTGAAAAAAAGAATCCTCACCTGTCCATAGAATTCAGCTGAAGGTGAAGATCGGGACCTCTCGTGAAAACAGGCAGGTTTGACACTCTCCTTCGAGCTCGGATCCAGAATGTTGTCGGCGGACCGGAATCGTCCGGAGGCTCTTGTCTCAGGAGGTTTCTTTTGGATGTTCCACCTGGCCTCGTACTCGGCGAAGGTGCCAAGTCGTTTCTGATCCAGGATGGAGTATGTTGGACCGCCCGGGGGGTCGTCCCCGCTCATTGTCCCTTTCGGCGTGGGCTCCGTTTCACTGGGAAAAATTCGGACTGTGGGGTCAATGGAATTCTCTGTGTTGGGAGACGTGTGGCCGGGCACAGTTGATTTCTCGTTCTGTCGGTCTGGGAAAGAGCTTGTGCTTTCTTCTTCTTTTACTCCAACTTCATGGATTTTGTCCGGTTCAGAGAAGGACTTTACCTTCTTTTCTACTCCGAAGCGCTTCCGTCCGCCAATGCGCAAAGGCGCGGATTTATTGGTCCCCACCTCTGAAAGTGTCGGAAGAGGAGTCAGATCTTTCCTGGCCATCGCAGAGGAAGGATAACTGGGTATGGCGTCAGCTGACGAGTGTTCCACCGCTACGGGTTCCAGGTCTTTCCTTCTGAAGGAAGTAGCTTTAAGGACCCGAGCTTGTGCTTCCTTCAAGTTATCCTTGTATGTGTTTGTGAAGGGGCTGTCTGCCAATGCGGGGGTGGAGCTCTGATTGGATTTCCACACATCCTGGTGGTCTTGGTTCTCATCGGGAAGAGTCGCCGCACTCTTACTCTTCTGCAGGTTGGCTCTTCTCATCTGGATTTCGTTTTTTAAGGTGGTGGCAAAGCGGTCGTTGCGTCGCATCTGCTTGGACTCGACCGTCTCCTCCGGGTCGAAAGCTTTTGAGGTCTCGTCCTTGGTGTCCGTGGCCAGCGAATGGAGGATGGGGGTTGTCTGGGGGCAGATCTTGTCGCTGGCCTGGCTGTGGTGTCTTCTATCTTGGGGGAATTCTCTGTGATGCAGGGGAAGGGATCGCCGTTGGTTCGAGAGTCTGATCGGGGGACAACTCGGGTACGGAGCTTCTTCATTTTGTGAACTTTGTCCCCTCTGGCTCCTGAGGTCATCGGCAATGGCTTTCGGGGATGAGGTTTCCACAGCAGAGGTCACGTGTTGTTTGCTGTATCCGTTCGTTTCTCTCCCATTTGAGGAGTACTGCTGTTGTGGAGAATATTTTGCTTTGGTGACTCCTTGTTGAGAATTCTGTTCGTTTCCAGTCTGGGTTAAGTTGAGGCTGGCCAAATTTTGCCTGTCCTCTGGTTTCCCCAATACAGGCTGCGACTTAGTGACACAGTAGTGTCGGCTTTGCCCAGCGCTCTCAATGTTTGGGTCTTTGGGAGCAAATGCTTGAGATGTGCTTAAATTCCTTCTGGTGTTCAGGCTGGCGGGTTGAGCGGAACCATTAGTGTGCAGCTCCTGCATGCTGGAGAAGTAGCCCCCGACATTCAGTGGCTTGGGAGCAGTCGCAGGCCACGGTTGTGCAGGAAAAGTGCTTTTGTCGCCGTGATGTTTGTGATGTGCGGGATGACCTTGCCGGACATCACAGGTGGAGAGGGAGTGCTGCTTGTTTGAGTTGAACTGGACGTGAGAGTAAAAACCTGCCCTGTCGTGTTTCGGGGACAGGTTTTGGCCACTGCGATCTTCAGTAGAAGGCTTCCCTGGAGTGCGTGAATTGGGAGGCTCGGGATGAGCTGCGACGAGGCCTCTTTCCTTGGTCGCGGCAAAACTGTCACTGCGTGCTGGCGGGAGCGGCAGTGGTGGTGAAGGGGAGGAGCTTGTCTTTTTGTCTGGAACATACCAGACAGGTCCACAACTTGTTCTACCGGAAGTGGCATGGAGGGAGCCAGCCTGGTCGTCAGCTTGGGGGGCGTCGCAGCCTCCCGGCATCTGAAAGTACGTCAGCCTGTCATCCTGTTTGACTCCCTCCATCAGACTTTGGCCGCTCCTGCCATTGACGGGCCTTCCTCCGGCATCCCACTGGCTAACTTTATACAGCACGTTCTCAGTGGAGGCGGCGTTGCTCTTTGAGAGCGTGAAGTCCGGCGTGCCAGAGCTGGTGGAGAACGAGCTGTAGGCAGAGTCTCGTTTGCCACTGCCGCCGCCTCCAAGGTGCTCCATGCTGTTGTTGGACTTAGCAAGGGACAACTGACCAGCCGGGTACGGGTGGGGGACGTGCTCTAGGCTGTCCATGCTGCCAAGAGAGCTGAACTGGTCCGAAACCCTGCAGAGGTTGGTTTGCTCCCAACCGGAGGACAGGTCAGTTGACGACGAACTGGGGGTTGAAAATGACCAAGAGCGAGGTGCTTATTATAGACCAAGTCACATTCACACAGAAATGCATTAAATGTGTTCCACTTGCTTGGATCAAGTGTGAAATATGTACATATATCTTCTACAGCCCTTCAATTGACTGTATCCAAAGGTCAGAATACATGTGACAAAACAATGTCTCTTCGGGGAAAGAAGCCTTACGTCGCATCGTATGTGGCGTGCCACACAACCGCCGAGGGTGGAGAAGATTGTGTTTTGGCTGACTCAGATTGCCCTTCGCTGAACTTAGTGGAGTGCCAGGAGTGCGGCCTGCTTATGGGTTCAGTGCGCCTGAACACAGAGAGAAGAAAACAAAATGCAGAGTGGATTTAGAGAGAGACACACGCACGCACGCACACAAAAAAATACTTGTCTCATCTCTGAGGAAGGATTCCAGCACCTTTTTGAGTGTTGAAATTCTGCCATAAAAAATAAAGATGGGGCTAAATGTTGCTAGCAAGGTGTAGCAAGAGGGGTTGCCTGTCACATGTTCATGGAAAAACAAACAAAAAACAACAACAAAAACCTCAAGGGGAAGTGTCTAAAAAAAAAAAACAAAAAAAAACATCATTTTGCTACTTTAAAAAAAAAAAAAAACAAACTCATCATTTTGCTACTTGAGATGCCCTTGCATTTGGGCAAGGAGAGCTGTTCATTTTGCATGGACATCATTTCACAAAACTAAATGTGATATCTTTTCATGACATTACCCTCAATTCCGAGTTAATTCCTGTAATTGCCATAGAAAGTTTCCACAACATTTCCACCCCTTCGCAAGACATTACCCTCAATTCCGAGTTAATTCCTGTAATTCCCATGGAAAGTTTCCAATTTAGGATATATCCAAAACCCACAACATTTCCAGCCCTTCGCAGTAAAACTAAAAACAACACATAGCTTCTCTAATCGTCACAAACTGACAAAGAACATACCCTATAAAGTGGTTCTTTCTGAGATGCGTGTCAGGAAAACAATGACAACACACATGAGAAGACACCAAGTAAAACCTCCATACATGCGCTACATGAGGAATGAGGCTAACGACAATCCACATGCCAGAGAGGAAGGCTACAAGTCGCTACAAAAAAGGAAGAAGCAGCGGAATAAAATGAATTTAAAAAAAAAAAGCTAAATGTGGGAGGAGGTTGTTGTTGGTTGGTGGTGGTGGTGGGGGGTGTACGGCGACATGAGGGTTAAGCTACGACTGGTCACTGGATGACGCCACACAACTGTACCTCATGGAACTTCGCAAAATCTTGGTAAGGAAGCTTCGGGCCACATGCACGTCATTCTCTGAGGGCATTTTCTGGGCTACAATGTCCACCATTTTCACATTCCTGGATAGCAATGGAAGGAACACATGCATACACACCAACACACACTTTTTTTTCAATTCAGCAACAATTGCGTTGGCATCACGAGACATGGCAAGATGCAGTGTCGCACTTTTTATTTTTTTTGCTCATTCTGAGACTACACCAGGGTTTCCCAAAGTGGTGGTGTGCATGCGATGCACGGTCTTCTCCGTTGAAATTAATGGTAATGCTTAATCCGCCCCCCCACCCCCAAAAAAATGTGTAGTGAGAATACTAGCATTCTACAGTATTGTTCTTTATGAAGCCAGAGAGTGATACTCTCATGAAATTAAACCGTTTTTGCATGATGATTCATTGCTTTAGTCCAATGGATTGCATGGCTACTTCTGGTGTTTGGTTGGTGGTGGTGGTGGTGGTGGGTGTACGGCGACATGAGGGTTAAGCTACGACTGGTCACTGGATGACGCCACACAACTGTACCTCATGGAACTTCGCAAAATCTTGGTAAGGAAGCTTCGGGCCACATGCACGTCATTCTCTGAGGGCATTTTCTGGGCTACAATGTCCACCATTTTCACATTCCTGGATAGCAATGGAAGGAACACATGCATACACACCAACACACACTTTTTTTTCAATTCAGCAACAATTGCGTTGGCATCACGAGACATGGCAAGATGCAGTGTCGCACTTTTTATTTTTTTTGCTCATTCTGAGACTACACCAGGGTTTCCCAAAGTGGTGGTGTGCATGCGATGCACGGTCTTCTCCGTTGAAATGAATGGTAATGCTTAATCCGCCCCCCTACCCCAAAAAAATGTGTAGCGAGAATACTAGCCTTCTACAGTATTGTTCTTTATGAAGCCAGAGAGTGATACTATCATGAAATTAAACCGTTTTTGCATGATGATTCATTGCTTTAGTACAATGGATTGCATGGCTACTTCTGGTGTGCATGCTTTGGCCACCAGGGGGCAGTATATTACAGACAAGAGGATCCACACGAAGGTGACGGTCACAAGTTCTCAGCAGGCTGTAGTAATAGTTGTCACAAATACAAAAGGAAAACACTCGCAAGAAGCTGCTGTGGGCCACAAGTCACGTCCCGACCGTCACACGCAGCCGAAGCGAAGCTCCTGATGTCACTCACTAGGCCATGCCCCAGAAAGTCACACACCCAAAACACAAATACTACAGTCATTATATAAAGACACACACTCTTTCTTCACATTCTCCATAATTATGTTTGATGTAGATATGTTTTTTTATGTAATACAGTACTATTTTGCTTTCTTAAAACACAATCTGAGGCGGCTGGACTGGACTGACGGCATTTCAATGGAGAGAATCAATTTGGTATAAAAGTAAATTGTGTGACGAACTTGCTCATGGGACAAATTAAACTTAGACAAAGTGCAACGGTGCAATAATAAAGAAGTGTTACAACTCCCTCTGTTGGCCTAGTTTAGGCATGAAAAAGCCAAATTCCCAGGATGTTGATTGACACGGCAAAGAGAATGAGCATTCACCATTGGAATCATGATGTCAACAGGACATGGCTGAGATGTACAAAGACGGGAACATGTGGTCCGTAGGACTACACGAGCCTAGCGTGGGGGTGGCGGGGGGAAAGAGGGGGCCGGGGGTAGTGCGGCTTAGGGATGGGAGAATCTCTTACGCGAATCAGATCAGCCACTTCACCCCTTTACAGCAAGCTGTCGTCTGCCTCCTGGTTAGCCTGTCGATCTTCCACAAGCAAAACAAAAAAATTGCCAATAACACTGGGGTGGGCCACAGTGTTCATGTCAGTGTTAACTGTGTATAATGTTACAATAGCTGACAATAACATTCAATATATAAAGGGGTCTCTGTCTTTTTTCCAAACACTTGATGGACATGATGGCAAGGAGTACATTTTTTTAGGTGGTACTTGGTTTAAACAGTTTGAGAACACAGGCTGTGTGATTCTTTCTCGACTTGTGTTAGGACATTGTAGCTCGCTTCTGAAGTCAGAGAGTCATTAAAAGTATGCGTGATGTTGCAAAGGTCAAGAATTTTGGACAAAGCCTTCAACTCCCATTAGACTCGGACCCGACAAATAAAAGCGCTGGGTTTAGGGGGTTGCGCCCTTTCGGTCACCTTGACTAAAAAAGGCCTTGAATGAATCCGTGACAGGGAGGTCCTTCATTCTGGAAAAACTACCATTCAACCATCAAAAACCATTGCTTTCAAAAAGACTACCAATTTTTAAAATGTGGGATGATTCATCTGGAAAAAAAAAATCATAATAATAATTGCGGATTAGTGTAAAAAGCTTCTTGGGAAGACAAAGCGAAAGCCAGCGTGGCGGAACTCCCATCTCCGGCGTTTCTGGGGCACTCGCGGGCAGCCACACATGGCGCCGGCCATTGGTATGCAAATGACGGCGGCTTTATTAGGCCTATCGTCAGGGCTACAGCTGGGCTGGTGCAGATATGCTTGGAAAGTGAATCAGTTGAGCTGCAACGTGATGGGGGGGAGGGGTGTGGTTGGCCCAGACCACCATCGATAGTGAATCAGTTGAGCTGCAACGTGATGGGGGGGGGAGGGGTGTGGTTGGCCCAGACCACCATCATCACATTTTATCGATAAGGACTTCAAGGATATTGAATCATCTCGTTCAATTTATGTTGAGAATAAATTTGGTGAGGGGAAAAAAATGCTTGTAATACAGTTGTGCCTTGAGATGCAGCCTGCTTAGCTTAATGCTAAGAAACAATCCAAAACCCCTTAGGCAGGCTAATGGCTAGCATCATGGTGTTAGAAGCCCTTTAAATGGCGAGCTGAATACAAACGATGGAGCAAAACATGTAGACAGATGATACTCACAGGCATACTGTATAGTCTTTATCCTCTCCAAAAACAACTAATATAAGTGCAGCTTACTGATGACTGCCTCCATGTACTTGATATACACTTGTCTGTATTATACTGCCCCGAGGTGGCCAGTGAAGGACCAGCACAATGCCCATTGAAGTAAGGCAAAAACTTTGACAAAAACTGTTCGTGTACTCGGGTGAATCTTTGGAGACAAATTCCTCAGTCTACCAAGATGGCAACATAGAGTTGAAAAACATGATTGTCAGCACGCAGCAAAGATGTGTTAATATTCACAGATATAAGCCCTTGAAACCACACGCTAAAGATTAATTTATGTCGCAAAGGCTAAATCTAGTTGATCGTGGCTTAACCTAAATGAAGCGTGACATTGCAAAACAATCACATATTAGGGTCACAAACCTAATACGGGCCAAAGTAAAGTTTGTTTTGACTCACCAAACCGGAGGACGCACAATCCCAAACACGACAACACGGACAACAACTTGGTGAACAAAGTGAGAGCGCTTCCAAGGACGCAAAGCATTTATGGCTCAATGACCAGCCGCAAAACCCCCGAAATCTACAACAAACTTTTTTTAAAAAGAAGTGGAGACTGCCGTCGTGATTAAGGCGTTTGTTCCCCCAAGGAGGGGGAGGAAGAGTGGAAGAATAAGAAGATGAAGAGGAGGAGGAGGCCAGCTATTGTCCAAAGCCAGTCCCCTCTTGGCTATTTTGTCCCCCATTGGCTCAAGAGCGGCTAATATGCTAATGGCAGGATGAAATGCAAAAGCGTCCTCCTCCCACCCTCACCCCAAGTTGTGAGGCGGATGTGCATTTCTCCTGTCGCTATAGCAACCGCTTGATCTCCCTGGGCGCACCCCACTTACAGAAAGCCCAGCTAATGAGCTGTGCAAGCGCTCAGGGTGACGGTAAAGCGAGCGATGTTTTGGCTCGAAAACGTTATTTAGCCGTTGTGGTAGCACGGCGGCCTAGTGGTTAGCATATCGCACTGTCTTGAAGTCTGGGGCTCCGACTTCAGCCATCGTCCGTCCAATGTCAACTTTGCAGGTCTTCCAAGTGCTTGCCAGGGTTTTCTTCTGGCACTCTGCCGAATAC